ACTCGGTTTTTGGTAGATTTTTACGTGACTAACATAAGGCTACTGTGGAAGTGCCCATTTCGGTTACAACGACATTCGTTTATAACGACACTATTTTTAGGTCCCTTTGATGACGTTATAACCAAGTTCTACTGTATATGCAATGCTGAAAATACACAACTGGGTACAAAATCCAGAGTTTTCACAGCTGCTGTGGCTGTCTTGATATTTAAATTTTTTTTTTAATTTTGTTAGTTAAGTTTAAGTAACTGTTTTATCTTTTTATAATATTGTTAGTGTGACGGACCAGAATGAAACAAATCAAATTCATCGAAGCTAGTCAAACTAAACTGGTAGAACTGTTTTATCTTTTTATAATATTGTTAGTTTGATGGACCAGAATGAAACAAATCAAATTATAATGTTTATTTTGTTAGCTTTCCACAAGGGAGGTAATTTTTTTTTTATAAATACGTGGTGCAATCCAAAAGTTCCCGAAATATATTAATAAAAACTATTACATCTTACCTAGATCTTATTCTGCACCATCACCTTCAAAGTAGTCCCCTTGGGAGCGCATACACCAACCCCAGCGTTTCTGCCGCTTTTCAAATGCATCCTGGAAGTCTTTCTTTGTTAGGGTGTTTAGTACCATCTGCATTTCCGCTTGAATTTCCTCAACTCTATCAAATCTTCGCCCCTTCAACTTGATTTTCATCTTGGGGAAGAGAAAGAAGTCGCATGGAGCTAAGTCTGGCGAGTACGGTGGGTGGGGAACAACTGCCATCTTGTTTTTAGCCAAAAATTCCTGCACAATGTAAGCCATATGCGGTCGTGCATTGTCATGGAGGAGTACCCAGTCGTTCGTGTGCCACTTCTCTGGACGTTTTCTCCTCATGTCCTCCCTCAAACGCCTTAGAACATCGCAATAGAACTCTTTACTGTCTGTCTGACCAGGAGGGACGAACTCCTTATGAACAATCCCATCAATATAAAAAAACAGATCAAAATGGACTTAATGTTGCTCTTGACTTGTCAAGCTTTTTTTGCCGAGGTGAAGAAGGGCTCTTCCATTGTGACGATTGTTGCTTGCTTTCAGGGTCGTAGCCATAAACCCAACTTTCGTCCCAGTGACAACGTTCAAAAGAAAGTTTGGATCCTCATGAAGCTGTTGCTGAAGTTCTCTGCAGACTTCCAAGCGATGCTGCTTCTGTTCATTTTGCAGCAGTCGTGGCACAAACTTCGCCGCAATCCTCCTCATGTTCAGTTCCTCTGACAAAATTCTTTGACATGTACCATAACTTAGTCCCAAGGTGTTACAGAGGTCTTGGATGGTCAGTCTACGATCTTGCAGAATCAGATCCCTAACTTTCGTGACATTTTCTGGTGTGGTGCCAGATGACGGCCGTCCCGAACGATCATCATCATCAGTCGATGTTCGGCCATTTTTAAAATGCTTATACCAGTCGTAAGTTTGTGTCTGGCCTAAACTGTTTTCACCAAAAGCTTGCTTCAATATTTGGTGTGTTTCTGCAGCGGTTTTCCCAAGTTTGAAACAAAACTTTGTACAGACACGCTGCTCTCTCAGGTCAGACATTGCAAAACCGCAAACTCACGGAAACACAACAATGGAAATACATTCACCAACAATAAACCCAACCACTCAACTCGACCCCGCTTGCCACACTGATTCAAGGAGGATGTGTGAGGAGACACCTAGCGGTATTTCAATGTACTCATAACCATTCACGTGCAAAATTCAAATTTCGGAAACTTTTGGATTGACCCACGTATTCTGAAGCCTTGGTCCCTTGAAAAATTCTTAAAAAGGAACCATTGTATGCAGGTTTGGTCTCCATGTACAATAAATATTCCTGCAGAAATTATTCTTAAATACCTTTCCTTTTCAGTTCATTTGTATTTTTTGGTCCAGTCATAATTTTCGTAATGGTCAGATATTGTCACGTATTTGAGTGACTCTCAACAGGGTTTTGGATTAGATGTTGGATTTATTGACCACTCTAACACACAACTCGTAATTACACTTAATTATAGCACCATCACAAATCTCCACACTGTTCAAATCACTAGAGCACATGCTAAGTCTTCTCCAGCCTGCATTGTCTTCACTAGTAGTTGCCTTGTAACAGCTTCAGCATTTGCTGTTATTCTGCTACTGGCCCCCAGGTCTATGAATGGCAGCTCCCCTGCAACTAAAATAGCTTCTTAATATGACTCAGTTATAACATCTCAGCTTGGACTGCACAGGAAACACTGTTCCTGTGTTGTTGTTCAGTTGTTTCTATGGGAACATGTCTGAGAAGCCATTACTCAGCAGCGGCTCTTGCATCTTAGTTTATTAAGAATCTTTTACCTGGCACTGGATGTTGTTTCGTCATTTGCTTCGAGGTCGCTACCCAGCCATGGCTGTACACACTACAATATGTTACCAACCTCTTTATTAACCGTCACAACACAACAAATATCAAGGTCAGTGCCCAGCTATGGCTCTGCAACATGTTTTGGCTATCAGTAGCCATCATCAGGCAAATACATGGTTAACATATATACACCACTGAACTGCAGTACTATTAAACTGGATACAATACTATTAATCATATAGAACACTTGACGTAAAAAATACAATAAATCAGATTATATAAAACTGAAGTTATAGTATAAAACAAGAATAAAATTTTAAATTGATGTTTTATACAGTGTGAAGGATGTGAAGGCGCTGCCTGGGGCAGATATTGACTCTGACCACAACTTGCTGGTTGCCAAGTTTCGAACCAGGTTGAAGAAAATTATAAGATTCCAAAAGCGCAGACCTAGATGGGACTTGGAGAAGTTGTATGCTCAAAGACAAGGCGTGCAGGAGACACTAGAAGAGAAACTTGGTGCAATTGAAGAAGTGGAAATGCTGAAGTGCAGTGGAACAATATAAAAGAATGCATGTTAGATACTATCAGTGATTTGGTTGGTAAAGTTGAGAAGATAGCAAGAAAACCATGGGTTACACAGGAGATGATGAGTAAAATGGAGGAGCGAAGGAAATGGAAGAATGTCAACAATGAAGAAGGCAGGAGGAAATACAGGAGACTGAGGA